CGGTGTGCGGTTTGGGTCAAATTCACGGGCAGGGTAGCACTAGAAAACTGTGTTTCCTGCCTTGGGCTGTAAATCTCGGGAAGGAGAGTTCTGTGGAAAATGTATGTCCTTAACACTGAACGTACACCTGCATTAAAACAATACGTTTCCCTTTTAGATTAAAATGAAATAATACATTACACTGGTTTGTTGAGGTCCATCAGCCATGAAAAGTTTAATTGCTTTGGTTGGTGTCCACCAGCCATGAGGTGGTTGAAACCGGGGGGTGCTTTGTCTAAGAGCTCACACTGAATTTTTTATATTGGGTATATAACCTAATTCACTGTCACAGATGCTTACAAACAGAAAATAACATATAGAAAGAATTCCCTTAGAAAGTAGCACTATCTGTAAAGTTACTGGGCCTATGTTGTATTATTTATTTGCACAATGTTTCATTCAATGTTGTTTAATAAAAAGGTAATTTTTTTTTTGGTTCTGCTTGTTAAGTCTTTGGTTTTGTTTCTCTTAACAGTGACTGTGTTCTTAAGCACTTTGACTCCAAAATTCTACTTTGCCCTTACAGTGACTTCATCTTTTATATCTGGCTTGATATTTGTAAGTAATCCACTTTTTTTTGTTAAAAAAAAAATAACTTTAGCACCTCTGGGATGCTTTTATTGGGGGTAGATGCAATCAGCCTTTTTTGATCTGACTCTAGAGGGTGCCTTTGTACTAGGAAGGAACTTGTTATTTAGTAGCTTTTCTGATGTATTGTATGTACTCTCTTGCTATGCGTGTTGTGTGTTGGGGTGAGCCTAAGGAAAATAACTCAGGCTTGTTTTAAGGCATATCTGTCCATATGTATGTATGCATAAATGTGTGTGTGTACAGAAAAATGTGAAATACACAAACTCTCCAGACCTCTCTGTCTAAAGAAAACTGAGATTTTTCTCTCTTTTAAACTAGATAGTTAAGAATGTAGCTTCCCACCGTATTTTTTTTTGGGGGGGGTGGTGGTGGTGGTGGGTGGGTGTTACACATGTGTTATCATTATCTTAACCACTTCAGCATGAAAATGAGGCAATAATTGAGCTCATCTTCAGATGACAGAGTGCACAGATGTGCCTGACTTTGTGTGAAATGAGCAGAGCATACTTGCATGGTGGGTTCTGCTAGCGCAGCTGTTTCCGCCGTGACGATTGTCTGACCCTGATGCAGGCTGTGGTATTGCATACAAATCTTTTGAGTTAATCTTTATTTTCAGTATTAAAAGCTAAAGAAAATGTCTCTTCTCAATTAAATCTGTTAGCAGAATATGCAAAATCTATTTTGTAGGTGATTTTCTTGTAGCCAATATTAAAAAAAAAAGTGTCTTATGTGGCAGAAACAACTTGTTTGCTGTAAGTAATGTTGCCTGGGTTTTGTTTGAGGGATTGGAGGAAAGTCATATAAGGAGAGGCATTCTGCTTGTAATAGGTCTTTTATGTAGGTTTACTCTTAAGAGACAAAAGTGGTTGTTGGTCAGCCACTATTTATAGTTATGCTCCTTTACAAAGAATACACTTTGTCTAAGCATCACTCCTTTCTGTATCCTCATGAAAATACTCAGGTAAGTTGCTCTGGGGCTGACCGTATGGCGTAGTGCTTGAGGACTGTGATACACAGGTATTTTTAATAGCATCAGAGACAGTAATACTCCTGACCCAAAATTTCTAGTAAGTGAACTCAATTGCTGTTAATTCAGCCTTTCGTCTTTGGACTTTTCTGACGGGCAGGACATGTCAGTATAACTGTCCATTTTGTGCTTTGGTTTTTTAGATTATTTTTGTGAAATGGCAAAACTATACCCGTCCTGCAGTTCTTGCCTCTGTGCACAGTTTCCCTATACAGGCCCTTTTTAAAAGGGTTTAGAAGTTACCCTAATGAGTTGGGGAGGGAGGAATGTATGTTTGACTAAAATTTTACTAGTTTTTTCAGTCTCTTTCATGTTATGTGGGCGATCAGGCCAAACCAGATAATTAGTGTTGATTTATATGTAGATAAGTTCCATCTATAGTGATTTGCAAGGCGATGTCCTTGCTGTGAACAACTGGGCTTCGTCTCTGATGTTTATGTTGGAAGGATGTTGCCTAAGGAAATTTCTGATGCTTTTTTCTCCTGTGACAGGTGTTTGAGTGGTGGCATTTCCGAAAATACGGCACGTCTTTCATTGAGCAGGTTTCTGTGAGTCATCTGAGGCCCCTCATCGGCGGAGTGGAAAACAGCCCTCCAGCACCAGCAGCATTCTCGGCTGGAGAGAATGAGACGAGCAGGCAGAACATGCCAGGTGATGGCTGATGTGTCCTAGCAGCTCTCCCTAAGCTTCAAGGTGGCTGGTTCACATGAACTGGCTTTTAAAGGGCTTTGAGACTTGCGTTAGTGCTTGTAAGAACTGGAGAAAGGCCTACGTGTTACAGTGTGTTTTATTAATAATGGTAAAAACACACTAAATAATAATGTATCTTTGATTGAAAACGTTCATTATTAAAAATAAGATTTAGAAAATATATTACACATTTAGCTAAAACTGTTTCAGTAAGATTAGATGTTTTCTATTCTGAATGTGAGCAAGATAAACATTGTGTAAGTGTAAATGGCAGTGTTTAATCTTTCCACCATGTGCTTTTGTACCCCAGCAATTTTGGGGAGCAAAAATATTTATGGAATGGCAGAAGTTTATGAAGAAGAAGATCGTATGATCATGCTCAGGTTGTATAAAAATATCATTGAAGTGGCTTTTGAAAGTAAAATTGCATTTGCATGACTGCGTTTTAAAGTCAAGGGAGTATTTCTTGTGCTCTTAATTCAAAAAGTACTTTTTTTTTTTTCTCCAGAGTGCAAAGTATGGCGAAACCCTCTCAATCTTTTCAGAGGGGCAGAGTATAGCAGGTATTAATTATCTTACTTTCAATTGTGTATTTTTAAAACTAATTGGGAGCATACACGTGACTTGTTCACAGAGGTTGCTCCAGTAATACGGGGAGACAGCTGAGACTTGGAAGATTATAGGGGTGATTGATGCCAATCCTGTGTTTAAAAGGCACTTATCCAAGCTTTAGCCGTTTCAATGTTAAGAATGCAAATATTACTGTAACATCATCAGGGTTTTTTGAGAGTAAAGTAGGAGAAAAATATTCCCAGAATTCTTTCGTCCTCTTTTAAAAAACTCTATGGAAGTTGTGGTCTTACAGCTGTTATTACTTTATTCAGAGGTTGAGACTGATTCTGAATCTAAATTCTCTTTTATTAAACCGATATGGCTGTGTTGTAACTTTCGTTGTATTATTTCATAGGAAAAGCTGCTTCCTAGAAAGCCAGTTCCTAAGTTGTTTAGAGCTTTAGGATCAAAAAGACTGGTTTTTCCCCTCTGCAGGAAGCCTTCTGGCAGCCTGTACAGATTATGGAACAGTAGTACTTGAAAACTTCTGCTTAGTAGCTCCAGTCTCTTATTAACAACGAAATTGCTGCACTAGCTTCAGTTGTTAGGCACATCAGATATCCCCCTTGGTATCAGCGTTACTATGTGTTAGGAGCGCCTCTTACTGAAATTTCTCCCGTTAAAGGTACATGTGGGTGACTGGGAAGGAGCCTCTTACATACTATGACATGAATTTGTCTGCTCAAGATCACCAGAACTTTTTCACGTGTGATACAGATGCCCTTCGGCCCTCAGACACAGGTACCAATGTCCTATGCATAACGTGTATAACTATTGGAGAGCGTGAAGTGGGTATTTTTTATATACTTTGAGGTAGCCCAAGTTATGTCAAAAGATGGGGTTTTTTACCCTGTGCTTTCTCCACTGACTTAAGGTTGTCAGGATCCTGACATATTTTAAGATCTCACACTTTTCAAATAATTAACAGTGCGATATTGAAAACCTTGATTGTATTCTCAGCAGCTAAAGACGTGGTCTCAGTTAAACCTTAGTAATGAATAGTGCAGTCTCCAGAATGTTTTCATTGTGTTCCACATATTTTGTGCAGAAAATTTTCTCTACCTGGTTATTGTCAGACTAGGTGCAAACTATTGTCAATTTGTCAAGTTCCGGGAGCGTTACTTGGCTGTGACATGCTTGATATGAACGATGTGGTTTTGCTTCACAAATGGAGTGTATTGTCTCGCTTACTAAGCCAAGACTAATATTTTGTTTCCAAAAGAAAACTTGAACATTTTTCCACGTTATTCTTGCTGGACAGCAGAGGGGTTTGTTCCAAAAGAAACATGTATAGATTCTTCAATTTTCTTATCGTACTTGAGATAGGCCAGAGATGTAACTCCATGAACGTAAGGTTTTGGAGTTCTTTCAGAACTGTTATTTAGGGTGAAAGCTATTAGTTCTGCATAGAACATGGTAGCTCCGAGTATGTTGTTTTTCTTTTGCTACAAGTTGGTTTTCAGTTTGGGATTTCCATTTTTCCCCAATGGAAGGAGAGTGGGGAGGGGTTTGGAGTCACTGCATTGACCTTTTGTTTGCTCCTTATCTGACCGTGGTTTTCAATCCAAGTTGTAATTCAAATGACCCTTTTGAATAGATAGATTTCATTCTTTTTAATGGTTTCCTAGAATACTTTCTAGTAATGTGATAAATTATTATAGTATATCTTGAATTGGCTTTGCCATGTTACGCCACTCAACTGTGCTTTGTAAATTTAAAAAGAAATTGTTTAACCCTTTATGGTCTGGTAGTTGTCTAAATACATAAGTATGAAACTATACCTGTGCGAGACACAGCTTATTCTTTCACTGTTTTCTTTGAAGTTCTGTTTGAAAGCTTAAATTAAAATTCTGTGCAGGTCCGTGCAAGAACCTGTGTTTAACAATTGCTCCTGCCAAGCTTTCAACAAGTCTTGGGATATGTTTCCAAAAATCTGTAGCAATTTAGAAATTGTACATCTGCCTGGTTATGTAAGCTGTCTTTGCTTCTCAGTGTAGGAGTTCTGAAATGGTCACTGAATAATCTTCCTGGTGGTATTGCTTTCTTAAATTAAATTTGGGGTGTAATGAGAAGTTGCAAGATTCTGCTGATTGTGGTATAAACTCGTGCTGGAATTAAATCACTTGTTTACTCTTCCCTGTAACAATCATATAGCAAGCAGGAATTTGCAAAATGGAAGTGAATGTTAATGGAGAGCTGAGGCACAAGCAGCCAGCCTTGCCTCGGTGCCTCCCAGGTGTTTCGCCGGTGTCTCTGTCCCTCACCAGCCTTTCAATCTCTTTGCAACAGTTATGCAGAAAGCATGGCGAGAGAGAAACCCGCAAGCCCGGATTAAAGCAGCCTATCAAGCTTTGGAGTTGAACAATGAGTAGGTTTAGAGTATAAGTTGTATTATTTCTAGTGTGAAAGATGTTGTATTATAAGTATACAGAAGTATTTCAAGCAGGCTCTATAAGTTGTATTATTATAGTATAAGTTGCTGTATTTCTAGCGTGAAAGATGAAGTGGGGTGATGCTGAGCCCGCTATCAGTTTCTTGTTCCAATAATTTACTTTTAGCAAAGTTCTGACTAGCTTAAGGGGGACTTCTGGGGCTGTGAGAATTGCACATGGGGCTGTCAGTTGCACTGAAGTGTTGAACTATTCTATTAAAAATAGCTTTTATTCTCCCTTTTTCTTGGGGAAGATTTAAAAAAAATCTTTGTATCAGTAGCAATAACAAATTGCTTACTCAGCCTTGGAACAGTCCAAATTGGATATGAGATCATCTGTGTTTCAGAGATGGCATTGTGGTAATAACTGTATTTGGGGTTCACAGATACACAGGGGCCACTCCTGTAAGGGATTTAAAAATACTCTTATAACGCAAACCAAAGAATTTCATGCACTTCTGTGACTGTTTTATTGTGTAGCCTTGTTGTTTTTGTGTAAAATGTCTACCATTGATTTTAAAAAAGCAAAGCAAACCAAACACAAAAATATCTCTCCACACAATTCCAGAGCATTTTTAATATTTCAAGGAAAATAATTTGCCAATTCTTTCTTTTGATCTTTCTCAAAACATGTGTGTTTTCTGTAAAATGGTAGCGGTCTCTGTTTTTCTGAAACTCACCATTTGAACTCAAGTCCATATTTTGGTACTTTAATATTGTCAAAGCTTAGATATTAAACATAAGTGAAAACTGTCCATTTCTAATGCTTTTAGCACTTATTCTGAGGGACAGTTTAATATTTTTTGAATAATGAGTGAGTTTTTTCCTTATTACAGTTGTGCCACTGCATATGTCCTCCTTGCTGAGGAAGAAGCAACAACTATTGTGGACGCTGAGAAGTATTTCAAGCAGGCTCTGAAAGCAGGAGAAATGATTTACAGAAAGTCTCAGAACTGCCATTCCCAAAGTCCCCAGCATGAAGCACAGCTGAGTAAGCACTTTTGAATCACATAAATTCTTGGTTTTATGTGAGCAGAAATGTGAAACTAAAGTTCTAATTAGTGATTCTAGTTTGATTCCCAGTTCAGTGAGGCAGTTCCTACTCTTTTAGCTATGCTTATGCATGGTGTGCTCTGTGATCCTTTGTAGTACCCAGGTGAATCAAAGAAGTGGCAATTCCGCTGTGTATTCATTGTGGGTTGTCTCTTGACATTGTCTTGGAAGGTTGAATAGGTGGAGCAGGCTTATGAAGCAATTAGTGTGTGTCAGTAGCACCTTCTTTCATTCCACCCAACATTGTGGAAAAAAACCAGAATTTTTTGTCATTTGACCTGGTTAAAAGTTGCTGGCATTGGTCTGGATGGGCCTTGATTGGGACAGCAGTAGTAATTATTTTGTGCTTTTACATGTGGTTAGGAAAAAGTCTGTGGTGTTTTGTTTTTTTTGTTTGTTTTTTGGGAAGGGTGGTGAGAGAGGGAGGGTGAGGTAAGGATTGAAACTGATAGACTAATATTTTTGTCTTTTTAATCAGGAAGAGACACCAATGTATTGGTATATGTGAAAAGAAGACTAGCTATGTGTGCAAGAAAACTTGGAAGAATACGAGAAGCAGTAAAAATGATGAGAGATGTAAGTAAAAAAAGCAAGCAACTGCTGTTGTTTTCAGTCACATTGTCTGAATTGATGGTTTAAAGTTCCTTTCTTGGCATCATAATTATTCTAATTGAATTATTTTCCACTGAAATTTGCACATCACAATTCATGATATTTTTCTGGAGAACAGTTTTTTCTAGTTATGTCTAGTTACATTCTACGTCTCCATTTTAAATTTTTATATAATATAATGTCATATGTTCACAGTTCTGTGGTCCAGTTTGCTTCATGATTGCCTCAACAACTAACTTGTCAAAATAGCCAACTTTATACTTTATCGTCATTTTTTCTTCACTTGCTCAAGGTGTATCATAAGCTATTTTTGCATAGGAAAATATTACTGACCAAAAGAACTCTCTGTGGGAGATGTGCAAATTTGGGCTGAGAGCATGTTGTATGAACCTCAGTATCCTTCTTTTCTAGTAGGTGAATATAGGAAAAAAAAGCGATACCTTAAAGGTAGAAATGATGCAATTCTTTTCATGCTGCTTACACGCCAGTTTCTAACACTGTGGAAGAACGGAACATTGAAAAAGCTTACATTGTTGTACTGATTGCTAATATTTCATGATTCAAGTGCAATTTTGTATGTGCCCAATTTATTTCTCATTTGCAGCTGATGAAAGAGTTTCCACTTCTCAGCATGCTGAATATTCATGAAAACCTCCTGGAGGCACTGCTGGAGTTACAGGCCTATGCAGATGTCCAGGCAGTGTTAGCAAAGTATGATGGTAGGTGGTGTCCGTTGGGAAATACCGGTGTTTTCGCCTAGGAGTAGAGAAGTGGGCAAGGTGTGCCTATCCAGAAGCAGACGTCTGCCCATGATCTCAGCTAGTTGACTAGATTCCCTTCATCGGCAACCAATAGGAGCTCTCAGAGTGCAAGTCAGTTTTTGTTTTGAATGATGAGGTCAAATTTAGGCAAGCTAAATTGCATACAAATTACTCCTTATGTTTTTAAGTTACTTCTAATTTGTAAAGATATCTTGGAGCTCACTTTGCTTCAATTCAAGGGTTATTTTAATTTTTTAATCTCTCTTACATCCCTGGTTATGCCTAAATTCATCAGCCTTTTTCAGTCAGCGCATAGCCCCCTAAGTAACTGATGTAAATAAGCTCGAAATGGTCATTTTCCCTTTTGTCATCTTCCAGGCTTGGCCTCGTGATTCTGTAATACTGCGGTTGCTTGCCAGAGATAGCAACGTACAAGCACGCTGCACGTTAGTGCATAGAGATTTAGTGGCATGCAAACTTCGGTCCTTTAAATGGCAGTAGTCTTTCACTTTCCATCTCAGCTCATACGTTTCAGGTGTTGTGCAAGTCCAAATAAAGGTTAATAATGTATATACTTATTTTCTTATTGTCCTCAGAGTTTTGCCCCTTGTGTGTGGCCACCCTAGCAGCCTGCTCCTGTTACTCTCCTGTGTAATTCTTCTGTGTTTCTTATTAATTTAACAAAACCATTTGCTCTTTTCCTGGTGCTTCTTTATGTTAACATCAGGTATTGCAACACTTTTCCTTAAGGAAGAGTTGCTGATTTTTTTCTAAGCATCTGGAAAAATGAGCATGAGCTTCAAACTCTCTGTAGCGCCCCTGTGTTTTGCTTGACACGACAGCCAGACTTCTAGTAAGTGATGGACAAGCCCAGGATGGGATTTACAAAAAAAGCAAGAGCCATCTGACTATACACAACATGGTACTTGGGAATTAGACCCCAGACTTTGTCTGCTTTTAAAGTAAACTTGTACTGTGGAGTGCTAACCTTCTAATCTATAATTGTCAGCTCAAACTTGGCTTCAGATGTTCTACAAAACCTACAACTAATAGAATTTTTCCCCATGGACCTGGAAAAGAATGGAAACTGCGTTTTCATTAAAATTTGTCTACCTGTCTGAAATGTAGTCAGTCTCTCAGTATTGTGTAAAACTCTGTGTTAAGGTACAGTTGCAAAATTAGGCAAAGATTAGAAGCTGATTTTAAACCTTTGTAGGTTAATACAGAAAAAGTACACTGTTCTTAAGTGTGTATTTATACATGCATTTCTTTTTTTAATTCAGTTTCAGTGTCTTGGTAGGTTTAGAAGAAAAGAATTATTCTTTACCACCTAACTACAACTCTGAGTTTTTAATCTCAGACTGACTGGTGACCAGAAAGACGACTGTGCAAAGAAATTCAAAGTTTCTAATCATAGCTGAAATGTTCCAGATGTTACATTCATTGTCTGCCCAAGTAAAAATCTTTAAGCTCAAAGGATGTGGGTTTGAAATGTTTGTCTTGCCTTAGAATCTTACAGCTTAATTATTTTATTTTATCATAGATATCAGTCTTCCAAAATCAGCAGCAATATGTTACACAGCAGCCCTGTTAAAAGCCAGAGCTGTTTCAGAAAGGTAAGCAAGCACATTTCTGAAAAGTGGTTTGTTGCTAATCTTGGGTTATGCTCAAAAATATGAATTAAAAAAATCTAAATCCAGTATGTCACAGTTACCTTTCCAAGAGCAAGTTAAGTGTATTTATATATGTATATACGTGTGTGTGTGTTTTTAGTTAAACATACCTTAAAGTTCCTTCTAAGCATCCATAAAGTTAATACAGGTGAAGATGTTTTTCAAGAGCCAATGTATGCACATGGGCCTTTGTATAAATTTTGTTTTCAGTGTCTTGTTAGGTTCAGACGTTTC